GTCCCTCAGAAAAAGTCCCCCCCCCTTTTCGGTAAAGAACAAAATAAACATAGTAAAAAGGAAAAAGAAGAACGATTTGGATAATCCTTTGTGAGAGGAAAATAACGCTTCTTCACCGACTGGCAGAAAACAAGCTGTTAACAGCGTGGCGGTCAGAAGAGGAACTGGCGGGATGTCCGTGTCCCACCTCCTTGGGCATGCGCAGTGGGGCTCCTGTGCATTCCTGGGAGGGAGGTGTGAAAATCCCTTTGTGAGCTTTGCATACCACCGATTTGGATCAGCACAGGCTCATAATCCCATGGATGTGACTGCACAGACGACCACTCGTAGATCACCAGTTACAGGTAAGCAACCTGTTTATCTCCGCCATCTCAGCCACAGGCCTGGCGAAACGTCGCCATTTTGCAGGCCCTGCAGAACTGGATTAAGTCCCGCAGGGCCTGGACCTCAGCAGGGAGAGGGTTCCACCAGGCCGGTGCCAGAGCCAAGAAGGCTCCAGCTCTGGTTGAGGCAAGGCGGACATCTTTGGGGCCAGGTGCCACCAGCAGATCTTGGTCCATCGAGCGCAATGCTCTTCTGGGGACATACCAGGAGAGGCGGTCCTGAAGGTGTGTTGGTCCCAGACCGCACGGGGGTTTAAAGGTCAAAGCCAAAACCTTGAACTTGACCCTGTATTCAGCTGGAAGCCAGTGCAGCTAGCGGAGCACCAGATGTTTACGCAACGCCACATTCTGGACCAGCTGAAGTTTCTGGATCAAACTCAAGGGTAGCCCTGCATAGAGCTAGTTGCAGTAGTCCAATGTAGAGGTGATCATTGCGTAGGTCACTGTGGTTAGGTCGGGGGGGGGGAGAGGGAGCCAGTTGCCTGAAAGACAGCTGAGGAAGACCCAGGAGCCGGTTATAGGAAGAGAGAGCTGATAGGGTAGCCATCGTTGATCCGCAACAACAATATTAGCACCTACTGAGTTATCGTTAACTGGTTTTAGCGTTGTTTTAAATGTCCTAGTGTTTTATTGTTTTTAGTGTTTAGTGTTTTATTTATGTAAGCCGCCCTGAGGTGCCCTTGGCTGGGAGGGTGGGGTAGAAATGTGAGACATAGATATAAATAAATGAAGATGAAAAAAATGAGAGTTGGATCCCTCTCTCACACACACACCCGTCCCAGGCACAGGACCTCCCTCTTTGATGGATTTGGTTTCAGCCGACTCTGTTTTAACCACCCAGCCCCAGCCTGGACAGAATATCTGGGGCGGAGTCCGTCCGTCCATTAAGAGATACAGCTGGGGGTCATCAGCATATCGATGGCAGCCCAGCCTGAAAGCTCCGGACCAACTGGACGAGGGGGGTGCATGCACACGTTAAATAACTCGGGAGAAAGAATCACCCCTTGTGGGCAGTGCTCCCTCTGAGCTGTGGAGTCTGGTGAGCAAAAATTCTGCTTGCTGAGCGACTGGCATTAAAGTTGTGAGCCAGCGATTTGGCTGCTGCATGAATTAGTTTGCTCTGGAGCCCCATCCTTCCTGAGCGAAGACAGAAATGTGTGAGCCGGAGGCTAAAAAACTGTGAGCTAGCTCACAGTATCTCAGCTTAGAGGGGACGCTGCTTGTGGGACGCCACATACCAAAGAGTAACACAGTGAGACTCTTTTCCCCGAGTGCCACCCCCTGTCCCCGACAAGCCGCTGTCAGGCTGTCCCACATATCCCCACGTCAGCATTGTGGCCTTCCTCGAAAGCAAGGCGGCATCCGCTGTCAGCGCCCCCACTTCTGCGGTGTTCCCGCGCGCCCCTCCGCCTCCTTGCCTGGGCGGGTCTCGCCTTGTCCTGGTATTTTCTGCCGCTGCCTGATTATGAACTTGGGCGGTTGGAGGTCTTTTGCTCTTCCTGATGGGACAGCGAACGGTGAGATGGTTGCTTGCTGGCGAAGGCTGTGCTTCTTCAGGGGCCGCTTCTGTTCCTCGACCCTGTAGGCGACCAACATGCTGCCAAAGTGGAGCCTGCCCAGCACCCCGGAGGAAGCCGCCTTCAAGCCGTATCAGAAGGAGCACCGGAATGTCCAGGTGAGGGGAGCGGGGGGGGGGCTCTCTCTCTTTCGAAGGAGAGGGTCCTAAAAGCTCCGCTCCCTGAGATGAGGGTCCTCCACTGGTGCCCCTGGAGCAGCCAGCAGGACTTTCCTCACCAGAGTCCTGCTGGGGACGTGCGCAAGAAGACACAAGGGAAACCCACCCCTCATTCTTTGGGGGGCTGGCTGGGGAGGGGTACTTGCTCCCATGCTGGCCCCGAGCAGTGCTCTCTCTAAGCTGCGTAGTCTTGTGAGCAAAAATTCTATTTTGTGAGAGCTCCTGGCTGCGGTGCTGCGGTGGCTCAAGTGGTTAAGACACTGAACTGCAGGCTGTGGAAGGTCAGTAGTTCAGCAGTTCGAGACCTGAGTGTGCCGCATGACGGAGTGAGCTCCCGTCTCTACTTCCAGCTCCTGCCAACCCAGCAGTTCGAAAGCAAGACATTGCAAGTAGATAAATAGGTACCACTTCGGTGGGAAGGGAACAGCATTCCATGTGCCTCGGCGTTTAGTCATGCCGGCCACATGACCACAGAAACTTCTTCGGACAGCGCTGGCTCTTCGGCTTTGAAACAGAGATGAGCACTGCAACCCTAGAGTCGGATTCGACTGGCTTTCGAGCAAGGGAACCTTTACCTTTCTACTGGCATTTAAGTTGTGAGCGAGCGATTTAGCTACTGCACAAATTAGTTTGCTCTGGAGCCCTCCTTCCTGAGCTGAGACAAAAATGTGTGAGCCAGAGGCTTAAAAACTGTGAGCTGGCTCACACTAACTCAGCCTAGAGGGGACACTGGTCCGGAGGAGCCCGGCCTGTTCCCTCCTGAAGCAAAACGAGCCGGCTGGGCTGCGCAGTTCAGCACGTGGCTTGTTATCCAGGCCCGCCGGCATGTCCAAACGCAAATGTGTTGACGCCTTGTCCCAGCGAAGTGGCTCTTGATTTCCTGGCGCTGTGCAAAAGGGCCAGAGTCAGAGGTGCCGAAGAGCAGGCTTTCCAGCTGCCGACAGGCTCGGGATAAGCAGCAGCCCCCCCCCAAGTGCTGACAGCTTCTAAGTGTCCGGACAAGGGGAGTGCCGGGTACAGCTCGGCTGAGTGCCCGGTTTCGGAACGGACCCTGCTGGCGGCGGCTACCAGGCAAGGAGCCGGTGCCTCTGGCTTTGCCGCACCTCGGGGTCGCCTGAACACCAGGCTGGATCAGTGGTCCAGATTCTAAGACCGTTCCTCCTTGTCTGAAGGAACTGGAGAGGGAGAACGAAGACTTGAAGGGCAGGATGCGGGAGATCCAGCAGGAGCATCGGATCCTTCTGGAGAGGATAAACGGGCTGCAGCTGCAGCTGAACGAGGTAAGGCCCTGTTGGGGACCAGGCAGCCAGCCGGCTGTGGCCTCGCACAGCTCAGCACTCCAGGAAGCAGGAGGCCCAGCTCAGCTGCCAGCGTGGACATGCTGTCCAGTTTGGGTTTGCTGTGCAGCCAGTTTGGCGTGAGAGCCAGTTTGGTGTAGTGGTTAAGTGTGCAGAGTCTAATCTGGGAGAACCAGGTTTGATTCCCCACTCGCAGCTGCTGGTGTGACCTTGGGTAAGCCATAGTTCTGACAAGAGCTGTCCGTGGAAAAGAGCAGTTTCTGTCAGAGCTCTCTCAGCCCCACCTCCCTCACAGGGTGCCTGTTGTGGGGAGGGGAAGGGAAAGGAGTTCGTGAGCCACTCTGAGGCTCCAAGTGAAGGGCGGGGTATAAACCCACTCTCCTCCTCCTCCTCCTCTTCTTCTCTTTGTGGGGGGGCTGCCATAGCTGCCTGTCTGGAGGCGGGGCTCGCCCGTGGCCTGGCACCTGGAAACCCTCCTAGGAACAACTCTCTTCCGTTTGGAGGCCACCGTTAATATTGCTGAGCAGTGTGTGGAAATGGGACGGGAGGTCCTGTACCTCCACCATCTCTGCGCGATTCTGAGCGGGAGGGCTTTCCCGCAGTGGAGAACGTAAAAATCTGACTCTGCGTGTCTCACTGGCACCTCTTTGTGGTGTTGACGCGGTCAGAAGACCTGCGTGTCTCCTTGGGTTTTCAGCCACCTCCGTCACGCAGCCCTGAGCTGTGTTAGCAGTGGATTATTGCTGCTGCTGTTTTTACCCCCAGAGACCACACATAAAGCCCAGGAATCAGTTGGCACACGAGTGAGATTTCTTTCCCAACAATGACTGGGAGACAAGGTAGAAGATGCACACTGCCTTTGTCAGGCGCGTGAATGCCTTGAAAACGGCCTCATTTAATTTGGAACGGTGTGTTGTGTGTTGTTTTCTCATGCAGGAGCAAATGGTTGCTGATGATCTTGAAAGCGAGGTAAGGAGAAAACTCTGTGTTTTCATTTCCATCCCAAACGAGTTGTTGTGAGATCTGAACCGGGGGTGGTGGGGAACTTCTGTCGGAGCTCTCTCAGTTGCTGTCAGAGCTGTTCTCTCAAGGACAGTTCTCTCAAGAGCTCTCTCAGCCCTGTCCGCTGTGGGGAGGAGAAAGGAAAGGAGATTGTCAGCCGCTCTGAGGTTCCGAGTGAAGGGCGGCGTATAAATCCAATCTCCATCACCTCCTCCATTTGATTTGAGGAGGTGATTCTTCCTGATCTTCAAGCCCCTTCCTTTGGGGGCGGATTCTGGCGCGCATACACAGAATTCACCTTCAAATGTGCTTGCCATGGCCAGTGGGGTGGGGTGGGGGTTGGGGCCGAAATGTTTCCAGGGGTGTCTCACATGGCCCTTTTTGTGCCGCTTCCAGAAGGATGAACTCGGGAGGCTCCTGACGGCGAAGGAGAAGCAGCAGGAAGACAGCTTGCGAACTCTTGAGGCTCTGAAGTCGAAGCTGAGGTTTTACGAGGTGCGTCCCTTCCGTGGGGGGAGGAGGCGGACGCTCTCCGCAGCCCTCCTGGTGTTAGCAGGTGAAAGAGGGTGGCCACGAGACCTCCAGGCTGTGAGCTTTGAACGCTCCTAACCCCCCTGGCCTTGAATTGACAGGTGAGTGGGTGGAAGGGGGCGGCCAGGAGGCTCGGTGGGATTCCTTCTCCCCTGAGTCCGGTGGGAACCAGTCCCGCTCCCGTTCCTTTCCCACTTGGCTTCATGCTGGGGGCTGTTCTCAGTGGATTGTTGTCTTCATGGACTGTACATGAAATCTGCCACTTTGGGATCCGTTGTAAAAGCCTTTGCGACCAGCTGATCCTCTCCCCTGCCTGAACCCCCTCTGTCTTAACACTCTTGTCAGCTCCCCAGTCAAATCACCCTCCACACACACTTTGGCAGTGAATGTTTTATTTAGAGAGAGGAGATGCTGTGGGCTCAAACTCTTTGTTAGGACTGAATTGCGAAGGCGGGAAAAGAAGATATAGGTAAAACCCCAAAATTCCATGCACACCTACGTTGGTGTTACGACAGTGACTCTGAAAGATATACAGTCACAATCTAGCCAGGCACAGTGTTTCTCCAAGGACATTTCTTGTGTGAAAGATGTCCTGAGGCCCCCTTAGGAAAATCACCAAGCAAGCCTCCCTAATTCAATACACACACTCCCCCCCACCCCCAAGGAATGTGATGGCAGGCGAGGGCAATGATAAGGGATACAGAGAGCCGGAAAAATAAATCAGGTTTTCGCCAGCCCTAATGCCAGATGCCCGAGTCTGACACACACTTGTTTTTATTTCAGAGTGACCACGGAGTGCCTGGAAGTGGCTTTGGGAACAGTGAGTAACTCTTTGGACACATGGAATAGTGTTCGGGCACTGGGGCTTCTCTCTCGGGCGGGCTGTTTTGCTCTGCTCAGTTGCTTGTTGTTAAAACTCACAATTACAGGCCTGGATGATGTCAAAGGGTAGCTGTGTTGGTCTTCAGTGGAAGAGCGAGATTCTAAGTCGAGCCGCTCTACAGAAGCCCAGCGAGATTTTAGTCAGGCAAAGGGAGCTCTTGGCTCCTGAAAGCTCCTACCCCCCAAAATCTTGCTGGTTTCTAAGATGCTGCTGGACTCGAATCTGGCTGTTGCACTTGGGTAAATAGAGGGCTCTTTTTGTAGGAAAAGCCCCGCAGGAACTCATTAGCATAATAGGCCACACCCAACAGCAGAAACTCATTTGCTTATTAGGCCACACCCCTGACAGGCCAGCTCATTAGCCCATTAGGCCGCACCCCCATGTTACCAAAAGTGTGGTCATCCAGCCACACCCACCTTTTGCTTCTTATTCTGTTTACCTTGATTGTTGTCAAAACCCAGGGGTTTTTTTGTAGCAGGAACTCCTTTGCATGTTAGGCCACACACCCCTAATGTAGCCAATCCTAATGAGTTTCTGCTGTTGGGTGTGACCTATTATGTGAATGAGTTCCTGCTGGGCAGTGCCAACTCAGGAGCCAGCTGGAACTCCGTTCCTGTGCGTTCCTGCCCAAAAATAGCCCTGGGTAAATAGATTAAGAACATCAGAAGAGCCCTGCTGGATCAGACCAGTGAGGGTCCATCTAGTCCAGCCTCCTGTCTCACACAGTGGCCAGGCAGTTCCTCTGGAGGGCCAACAACAGGGCAGAGAGGCCGAGGCCTTCATAAGAACATCTGAAGAGCCCTCCTGGATCAAACCAGTGGCCCATCTAGCCCAGCATCCTGCCTCACATAGCGACTAACCAGTTCCTCTGGGGGGCCAACAAACAGGGCACAGAGGCCGAGGCCTTCCCCTGATAAGAACTTCAGAAGAGCCCTGCTGGATCAGGCCAGTGGTTCATCTAGTCCAGCATCCTGCCTCACAAAGTGGCCAACCAGTTCCTGTGCACAGCCAGAGAAGCTGAGGCCTTCCCTGGATGTTGCCTCCTGGCTCTGGGGATTCAGAGGATTAGTGCCTCTGAATGTGGAGGTTCCCCTCAGTCACCATGGCTAGGAGCCACTGATAGACTTATCCTCCATGAATCTATCTAATCCCGTTTTAAAGCTGTCTGTTTCTGTGGCCATCACTACTGGCAGCAAATGCCACATTTGAATCACTCTCCGTGTAAAGTAGTATTTCCTTTTGTCCATCCGGAACCTACTGCCCATCAGCTTCATTGGATTCCCTCGAGTTCTAGTATTTTGGGAGACAAATGGCCTTTTGTCTGTTCCCTCCACCCCATGGATAATTTTATAAGTCTCTATCATGTCCCCCCTTAGTCATCCCTTAGAAACGGAAAAGTCCCAGACTCTTCTTCAGCCTCGCCTCAGAGGGATGGTGTTCCAACCCCCTGATCTCTTTGGTCACCCTCCTCTGTCCTTTTCCCAGCTCTGCAGTGTCCTTTTGGCGACTCAGGGACCAGAACTGTACACAGTAGTCCAAAGGAGGCTGCACCATAGATCTATACAGGGGCATTACGATATCGGCCATTTTATTCTCAGTCCCCTTTCCTAATAATCCCTAACACAGAGTTTGCCTTTTTCACCGCTGCAGCAAACTGGGTTGACACTTCCATTGAACTATCCACTACAGGGCTTTCTTTGTAGAAAAAGCCCAGCAGGAACTCATTAGCATAACGGGCCACACCCAACAGCAGACACTCATTAGCCTATTGGCCACACCCTTGACAGCACAGCACATTAGCACCCCCACCTTTTGCTTCTTATTCTGTTTACTTTGTTATCAAAACCCAGAGGTTTTTTTGTAGCAGGAACTCCTTTGCATGTTAGGCCACACCCCCCTAATGTAGCCAATCCTAATGAGTTCCTGCTGTTGGGTGTGGCCTATTATGCTAATAAGTTCCTGCTGGGCGTGGCCAACTCAGGAGCCAGCCGGAACTCCGTTCCTGTGCGTTCCTGCCCAAAAATAGCCCTGATCCACTACAACCCCAAGATCTTTTTCCCTCTCAGTCTCGGCGAGTTCAGACCCCGTTAGCCTACACCTGAAAGTTGGGATTTTTTTTGCCTTAGACTTACCCGCACTGAACTTCATTGGCCGCATTGTCACCCACTCACCCAGTTTGTGGAGGCCCTCTTGGAGCTCTTCACAGTCCGTTTAATCCCCAACACTCCCAACCCGTTATCACTCCTAACTGCAAAAGGGGGGAGGCCCGGTCAGGGTGAATGCCCTCTGGTGCTCCTTTGATGGTCCAGTGCATCCTGAACACGGTAATGGAAAAAAACCCAAAAAAACCAACTGAACTGTTTAGCTCAGTAGTATCTTCTGAGTGGCACTAGCTCTCTGTGGTCTTCTGGTGAGAGATGCTTTTGCTGCCAGAGAATGTTTAGCTGGAGATCCCGTGAACAGAACCTGGGGCCTTCTGCAAGGCGGGCATGCGCTTGTCCTGTGGCCTGAGTGCTGAGTCCCTCTATGTTCTTGTAACCTTCTGCAGGCCAGTGCCAGGAGTCAATATCAGGGAAGGCCTTGGTCTCTGTGCCGTCCTGTTGGCCCCTCAAGGCGACTGGTTTGTCCACTGTGTGGAACAGGGTACTGGACTAGATGGACCGCTGGTCCAGTTCAGCA